TAATAACAAACAACTTTAAGGTGTTTAGTGTTAATGTAGATCAGCAACAATTTAAGAGAGCGTCTACTAGTCATCTACTAAACAGATATATTAAATACCACCAATTTTCTTGACCTCTTCTAATGTTGGATCACGTCATTGGTGAGACTTCAAACCCATTATCACATCGTCATTGGTATGCCAAATAGTAGTTGTTTTATTTTTAGGTAAAAAATAAAGAAATTGTTTTTTATTGGATCTTATTGATTAAAGCAGCATAAACTTTATGAGGAATTCAGCAAAAAAAGGGTTAACCTGTAGCATTTCCATAGCAGAATCAAGAGTTTTGATCTTGTCCTTCAGTTTGTTCACTTCGTTCAAATTTTGCGTTTTTAACTCTTCTATTCTCCTAAATTAATCAGTCAATTTGTATGCAGTCACCAAACAGACTAATCCATAATTCAGGACTGACTGTCGCTGCTCCCAGTTAAGTGTCTCATGGTTCAGGTGCCAAAAATACTTATATTAATAATATTATATAAAAAACTGCAATTTTTGAACTTACTCTGCAGTTTAACAAAAAAAAATCTAGCAGAACTGGTAAGCAAACTGAAAAAACTGTAAAAGTCTTCTGTCATACCTAAGTAAATTAGCAGAATTAGTCCTCTCATCTTCTGCAACCTTAACTTTTTCATTGATTGCCGCTTGAAACTCCATAATTTCTTCACTCATCTAAAACGAGCAGATAATCACCAACAAATAATTCACAAGTCGAAAAAAATTCAAGTTTTTTTTGCTTATAATAAACATAAATTATTTGCGTTTAAAATGGCAAACAAAATAAAACCAATAATACATTATATTAGTCAACAAAAAAAAACTTCAATAACTCACTGCTTTTCTTTCAACCATTATTTCCTGCAATTCCTTCTCCAGACAAAGAATCTTCTCTCGTAGTTGCTAAAAAATTTCATTTACGATACGCTTTTATAGTTCTTGATTTGATCGTACCATAGTCAAAAAGTTATAAAACAATTAACAAAGCAGAAAAAAAAGAAACTTTTTAACTTTTTAAGAAGTAAGTAAAACTTAAAGTGTAGTGTAAATATAAATAACAGCTGATAAAAATTTTGATTTTCATAGAAACAAATTCTGCATTGAATTCATAAAGACAGTAAAAGATGCCTTGAAAAATTGCAAAAAACACATAATTTCTTATCGAATAAAGAAAGCTTAACAAGACAAAACAAAAAATTTATAGATAGTTTTTGAAGGCAGACTGCCCTATACCTTTTCGACAGCTTGTCTTGACCGAAGATTTTCAATCTCCTTCTTTAAGTCTGTCATTATTATTTCTTTCTCTTTTAACTGTAATATATAGCGGTCAATTCGAGCAGCGGTCTAAAAAAAGTTTTACCAGAATCTAAAGAGATAATTAACAAAAAAAGAAACAGGTCCGAGTTAGTTGAGAATATAACAACTGTTGTACTTGAACAACTAGACTAACTCAAAAGAAATACGAAGATTTATGCAATACTTGATAACAGAAGCTAATTAGTTTTGTAAGATATTCTCAAAACAAAAAAAATTATATTATAACTGAAACTTAACCATGCGGTTCTAAAGTGGTTAGTATCAGTATCAAGGAAACGCCAAAACATATACGCTCATATAACCACCCGATAAAGCAAAATGTTTTAACAGAATCTTTTAAAATCAGTTAAACTTTACTAAGTTTTCCAGACAGAGGCTGAAAAGCTAAAGCCAAACTAATTATCTAAGTTCGTCCCTTGCCTAAATTTACAATTCATAAATATGACAGTTCATTTAGTCATACTTGTTCCAATTCATCTATGTATGCTCGTGAAGCAATAACTACAGCCCTCTGCCGCTGATCCAGGCCTGATGAATTCTTTAGCCTCTCAAGTTCTATTTTCGTTTCCGCATTATCCTTAACAGAACTTCAAGCTGAGTTAAAAACGTTGAGAACGAACAAAAAAACATTGAAATATTAAATTAAATCACACAACTAATCCATTCCATCACATGCACGTTTTGGTACTTTAATTAATCAAAACAAATAAAAAAAAAAAAAGCTTAAAAAACAAATAACTGTTGAAAAATTATCAATTTTTTAGTTGTGAATCATCCTTACGATCATTCATGCAGTCAGATCAAAAGAAAAATTATCCAAGTAATAAAGTCTGATAATCACATTAAACTGTTTTAAATACATTTCTCAAAAATCGATTTTTGCCCACAAATAGATGCTATACTTTCCAGACTGACTTGTAAGCTTTATATTCTCAAGTTAACCTGCTACAATTTTTGCTAGTTTCAATTTTCCAGCTTCATTTTCTCAGTATGACTAATCAGAAAATTCAGAAACTTCTCAAAAACTAGCTGCAGAACACTGCATCGACTTTGAACATTGCTGTTTTAGAAGGTACCGACACCGATATTATAGCTTTTGAGCCCTGTAAAAATGACAAGACTGCCTCAGCTTTACAAAGCAAAAACAAAAGCACTAATGAAGATTTCCTATATGTGCTGAATAAATTGCTGCTAACAGTTTTATTCTCTTTTACAAGGTACCTAGACAAAATCAGATACATTAAATGGCGTTTTTTGCTTGACACATAGACAAGAGCAACTAAACTTGAAAGGCTATATTCGACGACACAAAGTCGATAAAACTATATTAGTTAAAATACTCAAAAAAAAAAAAAAAAAAAA